GCTGTGTCTAGACTGCATCCCTTTTCCATAAAAGGGATGCAAATTAGACACATCGCAATTGCAAATGAAGTGGGGATTTAAATCCCCCCACTTCATTTGCATAAACATGGCTGCCGCTTTTTTCCGGCTCGGAGCTTTGCTGGCAAAAAGCACCAGTCTAGACGGGGATCTTTCGAAAAATAAAGCCTTTTCCAAAAGATCCTTTATTCCTCTAAACAAAAAAAAAAAACAAACAAAAAAAAAGGAATAAGGGATCTTTCGGAAAAGGCTTTATTTTCCGAAAGATCCCCGTCTAGACTGGCGCTTTTTGCCGGCAAAGCTCCGAGCTGGAAAAAAGCGGCAGCCATGTTTATGCAAATGAAGTGGGGGGATTTAAATCCCCACTTCATTTGCAATTGCGATGTGTCTAATTTGCATCCCTTTTATGGAAAAGGGATGCAGTCTAGACACAGCCAAGATGCTCATGATTTCTAAGTCAGCCTCATGAGGTTTTTTTTAGTACTTGGTGACCCCCAACAACTCTAGTCTACTTGACCCTACTCCCCAGCCAGAGCTGGAATAGTAGTAGTCATGGTTCCCAGCCCCTCACTCATATTCTAGCCACAGAGCTATGGATGGAACTCAGTAGTCCTAGCTCCCAGTCTTGACCGCTCTAACCATCTAGGTTCCACTCCCATTACAGTGCTGGAAACAGAACCTAGGCACACCCATCACTCTGGGCACTCTCTTCCAGGAATCAGGTGAGAACACTCTGAAAACACAATGAAGGAAGCCTGGAGAAATATCAGCTCAGATCACTCAGGCTTTTGGACACTGCGGCCAAAAGCCCTGATAGAAAAATCCCACCTAATGAGGGGAAATTGGCCCCCAAACCTCTCTTGGTCCCTTGTTCCCTGGCACATCAGCTTTCTGGTAGTAGATGGTGAAATCATGGCAAGAAATCCCTTTTACCCTCCTTATCCTTGACTTCTAGGACACAACATCCCCCTCCCCAGATGTACTGTATATATGGAGAGAGGTGTATGTGAGAGACAGAAAGGCCTTAGGGAAGCTTTGATTGTTTTTAGTGAGACAGAGAAGATTAGAACCCAAATATTATAGGGCTACTGAAATTCATAAGGGCAGATTGGCCCAGTGGGCAGGTCCAAGATTCTAGCCTAGCTTGAGGTGGGGTGGGGGGAGGGATTATTGGTTAGAGCAAGGAGTAGACAGGAAGTCAGGATGCCTGGGTTCTCTCAGCTCCGCCCTTGACTTTGGGCAAGTCCTTTACTTTCTTAGTGTCTGTTTTCCCTCTTACCTCTTGTTCATTTAAAATGATAGGAACTGGGGCAAACTGAAGAACTGATCCTCTAGCACCTGCTCTGTGACACATAGAGAGACAATCCCTGCCCCCAAGAACTCACAGTAAATCAGAGCTTCTCACCGCCCCCATGCAGGCTATGAAAGGCCAATCCGGGGTACCAATGCACTGCAAAGGTTATTACAATATCTCCTATCACACTCCTCTCCAACATAGCTTGACCCTTTCAAGGTCAAATATTTCTGTCACCCTCTCAAAATAAACAATGCATTATATTACAGTTAGCATTGTCAGTGATAGATAATTTGCCTTTTGATAGCAAAGTGGTAGGGGGGGAAAAAAAAAAAAAAAAATCGCAAAAAAATGTTGATTTCAATTAAGGGATCACTGACCTGGAAAGGCTGAGAAACTCCAGTGTACAGAAAGGTGGGTAGTGGGGGAAATAAAGACATGTGGGCTATATCTACACTTGCAGCTTCTTGCACAAGAAATATGCAAATGAGGCTAAGCGTGGAATATCGTCAAGCTCATTTGCATACCTAATGAGCCGCCATTTTGCAGAAAAGGCTCTTGCACCAGAAGGAGCTGTCTACACTGCCCCCTCTTGCGCAAGAAAAACCCTCTGGCGCAATGCCGTTATTCCTGAAAATAATCGGCATAGCAGCATTGCGCAAGAGGGTTTTTCTTGCTCACGAAGGGGCAGTGTAGACAGCTCCTTCTGCAAAAATGGTGGCTCATTAGGTATGCAAATGAGGCTTGGCAATATTCCACGCTTAGCCTCATTTGCATATTTCTGGCGCAAGAAGCCGTGAGTGTAGACATAGCTCAAGAGGGGAAGGGACTTGAAATAGAAGTCCTGACTTCAGCCACCTCCTTTCCTCTTCCCCACTAGATCCCACTCCCCTCCCATAGCTAGGAAAGCCACCCAGGATTCCTGGCTCCCAAACCCCCTTGTTCTAACCACTAGACCCCACTCCTCTCCAGAACTGGGAATGGAACCCACAAGTCCTGACTCCCAATCCACTGCCTTCTCCACTGGCCTGTGCTGACCTTCATTAGATCTTTAGGGGTGCCTGCCCCCCAGGATATAATCAGTCCTTGTAAGAATCCACTGTATAAGAAGACCTGTGCTCAAGTGGGGGAGGAGGAAATAGGTTCAGCCCAACTCCTGATTCGGGGTAGGGTACATCACCCCGCTGCTGTCATCAGCTCTGTGGCAACAACTCTGAATTAAGCACAACATCCCAATAAAGCCCTTTCCAGAGACCCCATAACATTAAATTGCCCTTGCATGACAAGATAGGGGAGGTAACAGCTTTTATTACAAAAGAGAGGCGTTTAAGGTCAGACTTGAAGAAGAGCTCTGTGTAAGATCAGAAGTTTGTCTTTTGAAATTGATCCAATAAAAGAAGTTACCTCACCTATCACAGCTACAATAACCCTGCATGCAGAAATTTATCTCAACTACCCCAACAGTCCTGGGCACACATAAATCCAGCTCCCAAAGGACTTTACAGACCTTATCTCCTTTTCTGTTTGGAACACCGGAGGTAACTGCACACACATGGCACCCACCACAATGCTACTGCCCTAGGAGTGGAGACTGTTTATGCAGGATCCTTCATCCACATCAGTGAAGCAGCCACCTCTGGAGTGAGGCACACAGGCTGTTCATAGGGATCCCCTGCATGGCACTAATAGACAACTGCCTCTAGAATGGAGCTGTTCATACAAAATTCTCTTACCCAGTGCTGAAATGCATATGTCACTGGGGTGAGGCACAGGGGCCGTTTATATAGGCATTCCTCACCCGGTGCTGAGATGCAGCTGCCTCTGCAATGGGGCCTAAAGGCCATTCACACAGGGAACCCTCGCCCAGTGCTGAGATTCAGCAAGCCCTGAAGTGTGTTACCAGCCACAGGCAGTGGGGCAGACGCCAAGCATTGGGGTAGGACAGGGCTGCCCAGCAGAGTGCTTGAGACAGACTGGCTCCATTCCGGGCCCTCTGGCCTGCATTCAGCACTGGACAGGCTTCTTGTCCCCGGCCCCTGTGGGGCTACTCCTGCTGGCAACTTACCTGGTTCTCCACAGTGCACGGAAGAGGATGCAGGCGGGGTTGGAGGCCCTGCAGCAGCAGCTGGTTAAGAAGGCAGAGCGCAGCCTGCCCCCTTTGTGTAGTTTCCCCTGCAAGGCACCATGGGAAATAGCCAGGCTTTCGCAAAGCACTCTGGGGAAAGTAGTTCCTATGATGAGGGGAGTCGCGCAGTGATGGTTGCTCGGTTCCACTAGAGGCAGTTGCTATGGATGGAGGAAAAGGTGATTTCTACTGGGGAGAGGGAGGGGGCTTGCTAGAGGGACGGTGGGCACCGAGGTGATGTCTGGGGAGATGGCTTGGGGTAGGGCTCTAGGGAAGGTGGTTTCTGTGTTTTGGGGGAAAGTATTTTCTATTGGGGAGCAACTCTGGGGCTATGTCTACACTGCACTGCACTTCCGGAAAAAGCTATGCAACTGTGAATTGCAATTTGCATAGCTTTTTTGTTTATTTTTTCAGAAGAGGCTTTTCTGACATTTGGCCCATCTACACTGGGCCAAATGTCAGAAAAAAACCCTTTTTCAGAACAGCTCTTCCTCCTCGTAAAACGAGGTTTACAGGGATGCTGAAAAAGCGCATCTGCTCTTCCAAAAAAAAAAATTTTTTTTTGGAAGAACAGATGTGTTCCCTGGACATGGCAGTGTTTTTCTGAGATACCGCTGGTATTCTGGAAAAACTCTGCAGTGTAGACATAGCCTGGGAGAGGTGGGTTCTATGGGGGGTGGGAAGGAGGGCTTTGGGGAAGGTAGTTTCAGTAGGGAAGAGCAGGAATTCCCCCTGCAGCTCAGCTCCCCCATGGCTGTGCCTAAAGCCCTGCCACTGCACCATGGCCCCATCCCAACTTGGCTTGTTAGTGGCAGAGACCCTCAGCACTTGCCCCAGCAGTCAGGGGTCTGCATGAATTGAGGAACTGACCCCACTGAACTTTGCCCCTCAAGGACCCTTTCTGAAGCAGGCTGGTAATCAACATCTACCTACCCTATCCTGGATGCACAGGGCCGTTTCCTTTACTGGGAGCAATTAGCACAGGCTCCCTGCTCTCAGCCACAGTCAATGCACCAGTTACAATGCTGCAAGCAATCAGGTTTTCTGCCACTGCAGCCTGTTCCATTGGATTGATTAGACCCTGCAATTCCCTCAAGTAATTCTCTCAAGATCTCTATAAATTCAGGTCATGTCTACACTAGTGATCTTACAGCAGCACAGCTGTATTGATACTGCTGTGCTGCTCAATGGTCTCCACTGTAAACTGTTCTATGCAGACATGGAGAAAGCTTTCCTCTCCACATAATTAAACAGCCCCCAATGAGCAGGAATAGCTGTGTCAGTGCCTGCATAGCACTGTCTACACCAGCACTTCTGGAGGTGTTAATTATATCACTCAAAGGGAAATTTTACACCCTCGAGCAACATAAGTGCTAGTGTAGACAGCTTCAGGTACACCTCACATCATTTCCCCCTTGGAGCAATTGGACCAGGCTTACTGCAGACTCAGGCTGGCATGGCTGCAGCAGATGACATGTACAAGCACAAGGGCTGGAAACGAACATTTTATTTTAAACAGAGTCCTGCAAACCCACAGACCACCTTTGTAGATCAGATGCAGATACAAAATTTGTATCTGCAGAAGGTTCTATAAATCAAACTTGAGACTGCTAGTCGTGAATCCACACTAGTGTAGAAACTTGGGCATAGTCTTATACTGTCTTAATGCAGTCCTGCTGGGTACAGACTGAGTTCCCAGTACTGTGCCAAACTGCAGTGAATTATGGATGATTTTGCACCATCATCTGGGAACCAAATGAAGTTAATTCTCACAATCCTGCATTGGGTCATATACTTTAATTGGTAGCTTCTCACTGGAATAACCTCTTGGCAATGAAGGGCAGGTTAGTGGCCATATAGGACTTGAGACACAGCTTTAGGTGAAAAGTCCACATCATCTGTGTGGTAAGACACTGCCCTTTGTTGAACTTAAGACACAATTCAGTCTAAACCACGGTTGACTGGGCTGCTGCAACTCATACGTCAATCTGCACATGACTGTAGGTTGTGGCTGGAAGAAGGGTGAGTGCATCCAGCATTAACACACTAGACAGGACCACTGGCTGTTGCTCTCCTAGCTACCTGATGGTTCTTTGACTTCCCTGCTGCAGATCTCAGATTAGGGGAGACATTTCTGCTTTTCCATGAAGAGCTGTCTCATCTCCAGTGTGCTGCCATAGGGTGGCCCATCTCCATCCTTAACTCAGACTATGGTGACATTTGTAGTCAATAGGATCTTCAAATCTTCCTTCTTTCCACTCCATTAAATGTGTGAACACAACATAAGAAGCATCTCTGACCACAGAATTGGAAAGTCATGGGGGAGAAGCACTGTAGCACAGTGCTCTTCCAGAATTACCTCCCTAGTCATTCAATGAATCCAGGGGATTAAACACTCAGCTCCTACATGCTCAAGTGAATTGTGCAGAGCTCACACCTTTAACCCCAAGCACTTGCACAATATCAGAGCTCCACAACCTTCCCTCCTGAGTAATCTGACCCCTTTTCCCATGTGAATTGTCATAATGGAGCATCTCATTCCCATGGGAATTGTCATAATGGAGCAGATCTGTAGGTCCATAGAGCCCAGCATCCTATCTCTATCAGCAGCTTCACAAAGTGGTGCACCAATCCCCATTGGAAGCAGTATTGGGGTAATTGGTGACCTTCTGCCCCCCTAAGCTAAGGGTCAATTCATGCCCTGAAACAGGCAGGCTTAGAGCCATTCACAAGATCTTCTTTATTAATGGTTTAATTCTAGTTATTTCCAGTACCCCTATAAGTATCTGATTTTTTTCAGATTCTACTCAGCTCTCACCTGCAGTGAAATCTTGTGACAATGTTTCCCAGACAAAGTATATGGTGTATATGTATGAAGTAGTATTTTCTTTTGTCACTTTTCAGTTTCTCTGCAATCTCTGTTCTTGTATCATGAAATGGGCAGTAGAGCAGCCCCCACCTACCTTCTCCAGTGGGTAGTCTTTCACAGGTCCAAGCCAATCTCCTCTGTCAAGATGAGCAATCCCAGTCTCTTCAATCTCTCAAGAGATTTCCCCTCCATTCTTGTCCCCCACTGTTTAAAGCCAGTTGGATTCATAGAGTTTAAGGCAAGAAGGGACCATTAGATACCAGGGATGTAAGCGAGTAGTTGACTACTTGCTTCCCCCCCACCCGTGCTTGCTGCCTCTGTATGAGAGGCAGCAAGGAGGCAGGGCACAGGAGCTGGTGCTAGGGGAAGGCAGCTTAAAAGCCACAAAGAGGGGCTGCTGGACCTGGCGTGAGCCCAGACCAAGCAATTCTGGCTTGTGCATGTTTGGGACCGCTGCGCCTCTGCATTATAAATGTAGTAATAGCTGCCAGGACCTTACTACATTTAAAATGCAGAGGCACAGCGGTCCTGGAGCGAACCTCCCCTTATTGACTAATCATGTAGAGGATACAATTTGATTAACAAAATACCCGTTCCTTAACATCCTTATTAGATACTCAAGTCTGTAGCAGGGCAGACAATCTCAGTTAACGATTCCTGGATCAGGCACCTCCCTTCTTCCTGACCTACAGCATATTCTTTAGAAAGGCATCCACACTTAAGGCTTAATGTATGAAAGGATCAGAATCAAACACAGAATTTCAGAAGTGGGCAGCCCCTGCTTTAGGAAGGATGGTTCAGGTAGCAGGTGGGGGCTCAGGCCCAAATTAAATTCTCTGCTCTGCCCCACTCATTGTGGTCAAGTTGCATTAAGCTCGCTACACCTCAGTCTCTCCCACTTTAACATGGGGACAAGAGTGCTGCCCTGCCACCAGGGGTGTAATAACTACATTAAAAGATAGTGAGATGTTCAGACACTATGGTAAGAGGGGCCTACCAGTGTCCACGATAGATATACAAAGTGGCATTAATAATGGCTTGAGTATTATTCTCCACCTCATTCTTCCTTGCCATTTTCTCACAAATGCCTTATTTAACCTAATAAGGTTCTCTTCCCACCCCTCTGTGAGACTATCATCCATTCCTCAGGCATTTGCAGCCTCCCATTATGGCTTGGCTCAGTCTGGGACACACTTTGAAATATATACATAAAAGTATGTTCTCATTAGCTGAGGGCTCTTTGGGGCAGGGAAGTGGCTCTCACTATAGTTGTTGGAGCCTTCAGGAGCTTCTCCAGTACAATTCCACTCCCTCAACCCAGCTCCTGCATGACTGGATTGTGTCCCTGTCCAGACTGAAGAGCTTGCCCTCAAACATAAACCTCTATTGCTCAAGCTGAACAATGAGGCTGCAGAAGACACAAGTGTTCCACACCCCAGGAGATGAACCCATCTGAGGCTAAAGAGTTTTCCTGAAAGAAAGAAAGAAAGAAAGAAAGAAAGAAAGAAAGAAAGAAAGAAAGAAAGAAAGAAAGAAAGAATAGCCAGGGCCCTCTGTTGGAAATTTTTATTTTGCTGGAAAAGCCGTGGTCAAAACTCCACAACAGATAAGTTTCTTCACAAACACTAGCTGCTTTGGAAACACCTTGGCTACAGTCTAGTCTCAGAGGAGATGGGTGTGAACTGGGATTCAGAACAACTCCCTACATAACAACAAATAAATAAAGAGGAGACATGGGATTCTCCATCCACAATGCTGAGAAGAGAAAGGAAATAATATGAACTCTGAGCAAGTTACCTGGAACACAGTGAATCCCCACCTCAACCCATGCACAACCTGAGCCCAGACAGGGCCAATGTGGAGTTAGGAGAAGAAAAGGAACTATGCTTGCAGGTGAGGGGGAAGTGTTCAAGGGCTGAAAAATTAAGAAAAAGATACAGTGGGTCACAACTTTACTGAAAACACAAGAATCTCCATTAAAAATAAAACACACTAGAGGCAGCCAATACCCGTCGCAGGCAGCGGGATGGTGGGGGAAGTAGGACAAACTTTCCTGTGTAATGGGAGCCCGAGGGTCCGCCCGAGAATACGCTACCTGAAAGAAAGCACAATACAGTTTCAAAGTATTTTGTCAGAAATAGCCATCATGGGAAAAAAAACGCAGAGACATTAGGTCTACCCCAAGCTTTAGTATTGTCCACACACAGAAGCCATGCTGGTTTAAAGTTGGCTTTAAACTGGTGTAATGGGAGCCCTTGGTAGATGCTCCTATTCTGGAGTACTTTAAACCAGTCCATAACCAATTAAAGTGAAATGAAATAAGCGTGGTTTAAACAGCTATAAGTCCACCCACTTGTATCTCTTGCACTGGTTTCAGTAAACCAATTTAAAAATCATACCTTAAGTAAAATTGGCACAACAATTTAATGTAGATAGTGCTACATTTCCATGGGAGTGAGATCCATTTCACCCCAAAGTAGCTCCAAAACCAAAGGAGCACCTTGCCTAACACCATACATAAAATATGGCCCAGTTGATAGGGAACTGCACTGAGAATAAGGAGACTTGTGCTTTGTTCCTGCCTCAGGGTGAGAAGTGGTGGCGGAAGCAAGGAGGACCTTGTAAAGCTCCTGGTTTCCACTCCTGGCTCTGCCATTGAGCTATTGTGACACTTCGGGCAAGTCTTTTCTCCTCTCTGCACTTCTGGTCCTCCTCATCTGGGTCTATTTAGACTGCAAGCTCTTCAGGGCAGGGACTCTGTCTGCAGATCATTGGGCATAGTGGGGGTTTTATCTTAATTAGGGCCTCGATGTGGAATCACAACACTGGGCTCACTGGAACAAAATTAATAACACTTTCCAGTTTAAATAGCACTTTATCTGTACAGATATTGTCATCTTACCACCCATGTGCTCTTGTGGAGATTAATCAATGGTGAAATGACTCTACACAGGGACTTTTTGGAAAGTGAAGAAGAATTAACCAACAATGTGAATTTTAAGAGGACAAAACTGCATTAAGCCACTGTGTGGTTGCTCTTGCTCAGAATTAAAATGGCCTTACTTTGGTTATTTTAATTTACTTACAAAGTTAATTAAACCAAACTGAGGCCACTGTAGTTTTGAATAAGAATGTCCACCCAGGGATTTAATACAGTTTTACTAATCCACTTTAAAAGCTTTAAAAGCGTATTAATTAACTTTAAAAGCTAATTCACAATTTTCAAGTGTCCCTGTGTAGACAAACCCTTAGTTTGGTGTAGCATAACCTTCACTGCAGCCAACTAAAGCCCCACTTCACTTCTAAAAGAAAGTCTCCACACAGGGGTTTGATGTGCTTATATTTCACACCTATAGTTAATTAGCCTTAACCTCCACCAAGTGTTCCTATGTAGACTAAACCAAAGGGCTTGTCGTCTTCATTACATGGTAGATCAATGTTGCAGCAATTGATTCACCGGTGGTCGATTTAATGTGTCTGCTTAGATGCAATAAATTTACCTCCAAACGCTCTCCTGTCAACTTTGGTACTCCAGGACAACAAGATTAGTCTGAGTCGATGGGAGAGCAGTCCCCGCTGACCTTACTGCATAGAAAACATTGTGGTATGTCAGCTTAGATGGCTGTGGGTGAGGGGGCATAGTGTAGACTAGGTCTTGGAGAGTGCCAAGATTAGAACTCAAGCCTCCCGGGGCTGCACTTCTTTCTCTAGACCACACTGTTGCTGCCCAGGTTCTAGCTGCAAAAGCCAATGGATCTATGCCTGCTTCTGACTGTGCACCATGTAGTAGAAATATTAATCAGCAGGGACTATTTAGTCCACGATAACTTTAAAAATCCCTGGAATTTAATTTTAATGCTACGTGAAGTCCCTTCTGTGCTCTCATTCTGGTGCCCTAAGCACTCACTCACATCCATCTCCATTCAGCAAAGCACATGCTTAAGTTCCACAGTTTTGAGCACATGGTTCACTGTCTGGCAGACCTAGGGCCACTAGCTACTACCATGTATATTCTGTTCATGACAGCAGCCAATGGCATCTCAGGAGGCATTTTGCCCTTCCAACTTAATCAGGGTGCTGATTAAGTTCCAGTAAGAGGTTATCAAACAGAAGAAGTGAAAGTCTTAGCTAATCAGTTTGTTGGGGTTTTATTGCCTTCAATGGTCACTCCCTCAACAACTACCATAATCTCAGACAATGTCCAATTTTGCACATCAAACACTAATAGGCTACAGAGCTGGTGCATTTGTAAACTGCCATTTACAGCCAAATCCTCACCACTTCGTTTGTGGAATATTTGATGGGCTTTTACAAGAGAGAGGTGAAGCTGCTATCAGAGATGATGTCAGAGGCAAAAGGTATTTGTTGATTCAACCTACATTGCTTGTCCACATTAATGTGAGTTGTTTTGCTCTGCTATACTCAGGATTCCCTCAAGCTAAACAACACAGCAGAAACTATCTGCTCTGATCGCTGCTAAAACTGGGGCGGAGGCAGGGGGGAACGGACGGACTAAATTAAAGGTAAGTTTTTAGAGGGATCTTGATATTCTGGAGAAGCTTCTGTGCTCTTGCAGTCTCTCAAACTTGAAAGCCCGTGTATGATTTATAAATGTACAGCCAGAGTGTCAGGCAACACTCTTATATAAACACCTGAGAGAATATATCACAGTTCACTTTGAGCCCAGTATTTTGTGTTTGAGTAAAGCACCTTCCAGAAAGGCAGCCAGGTGGGACTGGAGGCCTCAGGAGATGGAAAATGCACCACTTCCCTTTGGGAGTTTGTTCCAATGGTTAATCACTCTCACTGTGGAAAATCTATGCCTTATTTTTAATTTGAGTTTGTCTGGCTTTTAACTCCCAGCCCCTGGTTCGTATTGTACCAGTCTCTGCTAGATGTAAGAGCCCTTTAGTAGCCAGGATTCTCTCTCCATCAAGACCCTTATATCAAGTCACCTGTTGATTAGGAGACACATGGGATGGGACTAGGATGACATAAAAGGGAGCAGAAAAGCTTCCAGAATTTTCATTCCATTTGTGGTTTCTTCCACTGTCTCCAAATTTAGGAGTAAAGAGTGAAGGTTAAAAGTCAGAAGCACAGGAGGGGAGGGAGAAGATGAGCAGGGCTTGGGAAACAGACCCCAAAAACCTGCAACCCTAAGTCAGGCGTTTGGGGCAGGGCAACAAGTCAGTCCAGACAGATTTATGAAGACAGATGGTTAGGGTAGATAGCTTAGCTATGCACCTGTGGGAAGGAGGATGACCGCCAATGTGCCCAAGGCACTGGAAGGGACCTGGAG